TATATATAAAGAAAAAATATTAAGCATATTAATATTTATTATTTTATATTTTTGTAATTTAAATGTATACAAATAAATAAATAATAGCATACAAGGAAAGATGGGAATCTATATATTAAGAAATGTATCAAGCTGCGACACTAGCTGCGTCATTTTCCTGTAAATACTGGGAGGGGGACTTTTTTTAATTAAGTGGGTTAATTTGCATTTTTATGTTATGATAACAGAGGATTTAAAGATTAGTGGAATAATATTTAGACACAATATGTTTACATGCATCCACATATGGCCCACTGACAAACACACTCACACAGGGGACTGGGGGTGGACTGATGTGAAAATGACAGGGACACATGCTGGGACACACCGGAAGCCGACGCTACGAGATTAATCAGCATATCTAAAGAGGCCTGAGAGGGCGATGTGTTCTCCACACGGCGTGACAGAAGATCAGATTCCCTAATGAGAAACATGGTGAGAATATTTTATGATGTAAAGAATTATGTGAAACTGAAAACTAAAACTAAAAATATTTTCATTAGCATATTTGGTTACTGTCCCACGCTATTCTTCTCTATTTTATTCTAGGTTAAATAAAGGTTTGTTATGATCTACACTACTTTTCTAAAGTTTGTGTTTGTTAATATTTATTAATATTTTTTAATATTTAAACTCACTAGGTGTCATATTTTTCCTCTGTTCTAGTTTCATTTTTATGGATTTCTTCTTTGTTTGTTTCTCTTCAGTTCCTGTTTCCTTGTTTGTCTTTTCCTGCCATTAGTTAGTCACCATGGTTTTGATTAATTTGATCACACCTGTTTTCTTTGGCTTCTCATCAGTGGATTACCTGGTTCTTTTTTAATAAATACCTTTTAGTTACTTGAACCCTTTTTGGATTTTCTTCTTTGGACTAAAATGTGGCACTTGGGCTACATTTATTTGATTTATATGAAAAATACAGTAAAAACAGTAGTATTGTGAAATATTATTGCAATTTGTTTTACCTTTTAATATATTTAAACATTTAATTTATGCCTGTGATGGCAAAGTTGAATTTTTGGCATCATTACTCCAGTCTTTCGAGTCACATGATCCTTCAGAAATCATTCTAATACTGTATGCTGATTTGCTGCTCAATAAACATTTCTTATTATTATCATCAATATTATTATTAAACATTTTTGTTTTATTTATTTATTTAACCTTTGTTTAACCAGGCAAGTAATTAAGAACAGGTTCTTATTTTCAGTAACAGCCTGGCAGGAGAGTTAATGTCTCATGAAAGATATACAAACATATATTATAATGCACATACAAAAAAAAATCTCAGTTAAAACATTAAAACAAAAAGGCACTCATTGGTAATTTTTTTATAATCACAGACTGAAATATTTGTTTCTAATTTCAATAGTTTTTGTTGCACATTCCAATCATTTGGGGCAGCAAATTCAAAAGCGGAACGACCATTAGCAGTTTTCTTTCTAGGAATAGTCAAAGAAATATAATTAGATGATCTAGTTGTATATGTATTAGTATGAAGTTGCAAAAACATTTGAAGATATTTAGGTAATAAACAGAAAACAAACTTTTTTAAATAAAGACATACCCGTGTATTTCCAGTCTTGTATGCAATGATACAGTATAATTCACAATGATGAGTTCTGCAAGATGCATTAGTAATCAATCTAATTGCTGCATGATACAATACATCTAATTGTTCCAAAACACCTTTAGGTGCATTTCTATATACCACATCACCATAGTCAAACAATGGTAAAACAGTGGTTTCAACAAGATATTTCTTGGCTGATGTAGTAAACACAGATCTATTTCGATACAAAAAACTAAGTCTGTATTTAACTTTCTTCTGAAGATTAATTATGCTTAGTGAAAGTTAAAGAGCTATCAAGCCAGATTCCGAGATGTTTAAATGAAGATACTGTCACAGTCATCTGCTAGAGTGCCCTTAAGAGCCATCAGAGGGCACTGTTTTGGATGTTGTGTTTATGTTTTAGCTGGACTGCATTTCCCATGGTTCCCCTCCCTCTGCTCCCATCATCCCCTGCTAGTAATGCAAAAGTAATGTCTTTATTACCTTGTTTGTTTGTTTTTCTAAACCACATTACTTTTGTTTTTGTGCTATTCAGAACTAAATTTAAGTCATTAATAGCATCTTGAATATTAATAAAACTGTCTTGTACCTGTTTTAAAGCTTCATCATGTGACGATCCTACAGCATAAAAAAATGGTATCATCCGCATATAAGTGGATATAAGTTTTCTGACTACAGATATGCTGAGAAATACTATTAATGTAATTTGAAAACAGGGTTGATGCTAACACAGAGCCTTGAGGAACCCCTTTGTTAATAGTTAATGGTTCAGATCAATCTTGGTTGTTGATCAATATTTACATATTGGGATCTGTTAAATAAATAGTTAGAGAACCAAGATAAATTTAAATTAGACACACCAATACTGCGTAATCTGGATAACAAAATAGAATGATCAACTGTATCAAAAGCTTTGGCAAGATCAATAAAAATAGCCGCACAAAATTGTTGTTTCTAATGCATTATAAATATCATTCATAACTTTTACAACTGCCGAAAACCAGATTGAACTTCAGATAAAATGTTACATGTATTAAGAAAACCTATCAATTGCTTATTAATTATTTCTCCATCACCTTTGCAACACAAAAGATTGGACGATATGAGTTTGGATCCATTTTATCACCACTCTTATAGACACGGGATGCAATGGCTATTTTCCAGATTTTAGGTATTCCCACTGTAGTTTTAGTCAGATAAATTAAAAATATATGTTAAAGGTTCAGATATAACTGATGCACCTACTTTAAAAAAGAAAGTATCTAAGGCATCTAGATCAGCAGGTTTTTGGGTTAAGTTTGCGTAATTCATAGCAAACCAGCAACTTATTAACTGGTTGTGTAAACCATGATACATTTTTTCAGGATTTTTGATGAAAGCGTCGGTCTCCGCCGCCATTCACGACAGTACCACGATGCATGCCTGTGCATTGCTCTGCTTGAAAACAAGCCGCAGCGCATGCGGGTTCTACGTCAGAACGCCGGCTCCTGCGTTAGCAGGATCACACTCATGCGTCGTGGTACTCTCGTTAATGGTGGCGGAGACTGACGAGGAAGTAAAAAAATTGTTGAATAAAGCTGTTATTTTTGTTTTATTTGCGCACAAAAAGTATTCTCATTGCTTCATAAAATGATGGTTGAACCACTGATGTCACATGGACTATTTTAACGATGTCCTTACTACCTTTCTGGTCCTTGAACATAGTAGTTAAGTTGCTGTCTATGCAGGCTCAGAAAGCTCTTGGATTTCATCAAAAATATCTTAATTTGTGTTCCGAATATGAACAGAGGTCTTACAGGTTTGGAACGACATGAGGGTGAGAAATTAATGACAGAATTTTATATTTTGGGTGAACTATCCCTTTAATTCAAATCCCTTCTGCAATGATGATGGTGCAAACCACATGCGAGGAGCTTGAATTTTAAGCTCAAGTGTCTGATTGGAGGAGGCCTCTAGTGGACGTGTGTATGGAAGGCTCACCAGGCGTCGTGTGCTCACCTCTCCTGCGCTGTGGCTGCGCTGGCGGCTGAGGTGCTGGCGGTGGGTGAGGATGCTGCTGGGTCGGGCGCTCTGCAGTGGCAGTCGTGGGTCTATGAAGGTGGTCGCCCTGCAGTTATGGTCCACAAAGAATGGCTGAGGAAAAGACATAATCATGTCAAGCAAGTAGGTCGAAGGATTTAAAAGCACAAATGTGATGCTCACATTCATGTTAAAGCACTTACAAGAATGCGCCAGTAAAACCCTAACACATGAAATATTTTCAGTAAGTGTTACGGTTGTACTTTTAAAGCATATTTTAAACATTTATCTGCTGTACCACCTGCTTTCCTGCTAAGCTTCCATTATAAGTGTATAACTGTAAAGCTCTTTCCGATAGAAAATAATTAATCTCTAAGGAGCTAGAAAATTAAATCATAGTGTATAAGTATAGTATATTAAATTATAACATTTTATATTTTATTTATATTGGGTTTTTTTATTTAGAGAACTGTTGTTTATATATATTTTTTTATATATATACTGTAAAATATAAGGGACTAAATATAAAAGGAGAAAGACAGTGAATGACTGGCATATAAGAACAAAAAAGAAAAATAATTATGTATAATAAATATGGATGGTTAAAAAAAAAGTTTTTTTCAAAAACATTTTAAAAAATCTTACTGTCCCCAAACATTTGAATGGTATATATTGTTTATTTTAGGCCATATTTTATTTAGAAATGTACCGTAAAATTAAAAGTAGGGGGTGGAAAAATGGCTGATAGGAGACATAGAGAGCTCTATATCCAGAATGTGGACACAGAACGCAGAGAAGATGTTTCCAGACCTTTCCCGTGTGGTCGTGTTTCATTTCCCAGCCCCGCGGGAGATCCAGCTGTTTGTTAGCAAACATGTTGAGGAAGGCAACCAGGTCTCGATTGTGCTGGTAGCGCTCAAAGTGGTGCGTGTCCCGTCGCACTTTACTGATCATGTGTTTTAGACATGTGTTACTTGTAAACATGCGGTAGGCACTCTGAGAAAGAAAAAACAACAGACAAGAGTGTTTCTTTGTCTATAAGTAATGCTAGTGGCCTTCTAAAAAGTAAAAATTCAACAAAATGACTTATGTAACAATATATCATGTTACTTTTAAAAGAAACGTTTCAACAAAATTCATGACAGAACCAGATAACGGGTTTGTGAGAATCAGTTGTTTTTATGGCATGATTTACCACAAATTTCTTTCAAGGGACTGAAAATTGGCTAGTGGTAAAAAAAAAAAAGTGTGAATAATTAATGTGTTGGAAGACTAACAGGGTTGGAATGCAGTATGGTAAAGAAATCCGGGCTGGTGAGAAACTTGGCGCTGGGGGACTGAAGCAGCAGAGACAAGCGGGAGCGAGAGCTAGTAGGCCCAACCACACCGTCCCGACGGTACTCTGAAAGAGAGGACAACTATAGTGTGATAATTATATTGGGTTAAATCAAAAGATCTTTTTTCTCTATTCCATATTTCCTTGAATCTAAATAACCAGGCTCATCTAAATGCAGTGCATGTATGTGGTGTGTGTATTTCTATTGTGAGAGAGTACCAGGTATGGAGTGATGCAGCAGGTCGGTTTCGTCTGTAGGCATCTCTGCAGCCTGTTCGTCTGTCCTCTCATTGGTTATTGTCCTCCGAATACTCTGATACCTGAACAAAACAAAGAGGTACTCAAATTAATTTGCATATTTAGTCCTATTTTTCATGTAATAATCTTTTCACAAGGATAATTGTACTTTATCATTCATAATTATACTTTGTTGCTTCTGTAATGTATTTATTATTGCTAAATTAGATATTTCTATCTTGGCCTACTCTGCAGTTTTAAATAAATTAAATAAAAAAAATAAATGCAATCAAATTGAAAAAAAACAAAAAAAATGTAATCACAAAAACACAAAAAACTGAATAATAAATATGATATAATAATAATAATAATTATTATTATTATTATTACAGTACAGCTGTTTTTAATATATAAATTTTATTATAAGACATATTTCTTGAGCACCAAAACAGCACATTACTATGATTTCTTCTTAAATTAAATTTAATTAAATTACAAATGTATATGCCACAAATAATTCCTGCCAGCCATGACACTGTATTTTCCATTATTTTCAGCTGTGAAGGGAATATTCACATATGTGTTGCCACATACTGTTCTCAAGGGAAAAAATCCTAGATTTAAAAAGCTTTATTTGATTGTCATTTTTACTGATATTTTATGCTTGGCGAACTGTTAATTTTGGATGCTGTACGCAGCTATGCTACAATTGCTTTTGCAAGTGAAATGCATGCTAATTAAGTACAATGAATTGAAATCAAGTTAAGGGAGAGAAAGCAGATGAGAGCGAGCATGAGAGATGTTTTGATGGAGCATGATAATGGCAGAACAGATTAGGTTGCTGTTTTTCCATACAAGTGAGGATTAACAAATGGCATTTTGGACTCAGATAAATCCCAAGATAAGGTCACTGTGTGCTCAAAACACTCCTTTTATCAGACTTCACTCTAATCACTACTGATTTCATGCCATCTTGATAGATTTTGACTGGAGTAAACACACCGATATGTGAATATTGTGTTCATGTGTGACTGACCTTCGGTTGAGCTGCTCCATCTGCTGAATGGAGTTGGATCTCTGTAGGACCTGAGGTGCAGGTGGAGCAGTGGGCCGCTGCCAGGTGGTGGTTCTATTCACATGATCCACATAGAAAATCCTGCCGTGGCTGTCAATACGAGCCTCCCAGTCTACAACATACACATTTAAAGTCCACTTATAATGTTATAATAAAATATAATTATGTAAATACCCTTATTTCAAAACAGCAAAATATAAATCTAATTTTCCATGATTATGTCCCATTTAGGACAGGTTGGGCGAATCTCATACAAAGACAAAAATATTCCCTCACTTGGCGGAAGAGGCTCGTCCACTCTCTGATAGCGGCTGATGTCATGACGCACTGAAGGAAGAGATCGCATTAGCTGATGGCCATTCACTTGAGCACTGGCTCCTTCAGAAAGTCAAAAATGTGTTGTTTGTGTTATGTAAACATACATATATTGTACACAAATTATTCATAAAGTCTCCTATTATTCCTATTATATAAAGCCAGACAATAGGTTATATTTTATTTGAATAGAATTCATAATATTTTAATAATAGCATATAGAATTTTTTTAATTAATGGAATATTTTATATAATATTTTTTATTTTGATATTATAAATATTACTTTTAAGATTATTATTCATGTCCTTAATATATATA